AAAGGAGAAAAGCAGAGAACAAGAGTTAGAAATAAAGAAAGAATACAAAAGTGACGGAAAATAAAAGGGAAAAAAGGAAAAATTACAAAAAGGATGACTTCCAACTTCTTATACAGCAGATAAATCATATAATGACCTCTTACTCTAAGAGAACTCTTCTTGTATTCTCATGCTGTCTCCATTATCCATTTTATATTAGCTATCTAATGACATCTCTCTGTTCCTTTTCCAAAACTTGCCTGTTCATCTGGCAATTTCTCCTCCATAAGGTACTCTATTCTTCTTACAAGAACTTAAGCAAAACTTTCTTTGATAAATTGTGTGACAATGGTTCAGTAATTTGCACAACCTGTTGCATCTTTCTTCTGTAGTATATACTGAATGTATCCAATTACACAGTCCTATATCTGTTGGCATAAAGCTTTTGGTATTAACTGCCTCTGCTCCTGCAAATTTAAAGAGTCCAATGGGTATTTAGTACACACCTGCAACTTTCATGTTTGATAGCCAGTCCACTGGTTAGTTTAGGTGAGATCTCAACTGGTTTGAGGTGAGGCATCATCAATAGCTGTGGGATGCTATAGTGGAGGTTTTTATTTGCTGTTTAAAAGCTGTGAAGCTCAAACAGAACCCCAGTAAGACAGAGGTGCTGTTCCTAAGTAAACAATCTCACCTTTTCACTATTCCTAGTTTAGCTCTAGATGGAGTCATACTACCCTTGAAGAAGCAGGTCTGTGATTTGGGGATTCTCCTGGACTCACAGCTCCAACTGTGAGCTGTGGCCTTTGCCCAGCTTAGCTGGTGCACCAGTTGTGGCCCTTTGGGGACAAGGAGACCCTTATAACAGTGAGACATGTCCTGATTGCCATGTGTTTAGACTGTAATATGCTCTAAAAGGGACTGCTTTTGAACACCATTTAGAAATTTAATTGGTCCAGAATGTGATCTGATGGGAGTATGCTACTGATGGGAGTATGTGGTTTCAGCAATATAACACCTGTGTTGCAATTGCTGCCTTCATTACTAATAGACTTCTAGGTCCAATTTAAAGTGATGGTACCTATGGTAAAACCTTACATGGCCCATCTCTTGCTTACCTTTTGGAACAGCTGTTCTGACTCAAACCAGTGCACCCTCTGAGGTCTTTCACAGAAGAAATGCTTAGGCTCCCCACACAACAAATGTCACCAAGATGGGAGCCCATCCTTCTCAATGGTAGCCTCAATATCATGAAACAGCTTAACTCTGGTTGGCTACTTATTGATTTTTCAGAAGGCCTTGAAGACAGTTTTCTCCTGAGAAGCATTTAGTCCCTTGTGATGGTGGTAAGTTACTTTTTTGGCCTTGCTTTTTGCTCTTTTTTATCCTGGTGCTGTTTTTTACATTTGTAGCTGTGGATTCTATGGTAGATTGGAATGGAACGTATCTTTATGCTTAACTGGTTGCATTTTTGTTTCTTGTAAGCCATCTTAAGTTGATTTGATTGGATGGTATGTATGTGTATGTATGTATGTATGTATACATGTTTCCTGTCATGCCTTATCTTTTAGCAGAATCAGTTCCTGAATATATTCTCTGCTACAAATGTTTGTTATTCTATGACCTTGTTTGTAAAGGGATCGGTATAATTTTTCCTTCTTCTTTGAACATCATTTTCTCCATCAGATCTCTTTGAAGTTTACTCATTTCCACCTTAACTATACATTTTCCAGTGAACAATATCTCCCATTTCCCTTTTCTTGTTACATTATTCTATTTACTGATGTTTTGACTTGAGATACCTTTCCCTGTGCTCTCTTGCTTGACATTGGAAATCCATGTTTGGTCATCTTTGTCCTTCATTTTGTCCAAGGCTTTCTTCTGTCTTTTCCAGTTACCATGACAGTTTGTTGGGAAAGCCACTTGGATCTTTTCTTCCTTGAAATGTTGGCAATATTTTTTCCCACTACAGTTTTCATAATATTTCCCATCTCTTTCTGTAGCTCATCATATTCTCTTTTACTTAAGTTAAGCATACTAAATGCATTCCTTATCTTGATCTTAGATTCAGGTTCTATGTTCTCCAAGTCACATTTTACTAATGCACCTACTCTTTTTAATTTTCTAACTTTAGTCCTCCTAATCAGCTCCTCTTATTTGGGCTGTTTGTGTGTGTGTGTCAGCCTTCCCATGTAGACCAGATAGGAAACACAACCAGGTGACCTAATTCTACTTTATTGTAAGGCTACATTAAGAATCTTGCAAGTCTGAAAGTACAAATCTCCTGCCATCTCTTTTACCACCTGAGAAGTTAGAAAGGGTCTTTTCTGAGTCTCTTTCTCCTCCCATTATGCAGCTGTGGGATATGCCCTCTCTTATCTGGTTGTTCCTTAGGCAGCATCTCTTCCTTCTGTCTCCCAAGGTCATTCCCACATACCATTACATGTGTGTGTGCCTTCAAGTCAATGTTGACTCCTGACTACTGTCTGGACAAGTCCCTGCAGCATTCTTGGCAAGATTTTGGACGTGGTTTGCCATTGCCTCCTTCCTAGGGCTGAGAGACAGTAACCAGCATGCTGGAGCTATCAGCAGGAGAATCAAGGACAAAATTCAGATAAATATCTTACTTTTACTGGAGATACAAGAAGTCCTAATAACAAAGAGAGCTATTGCACTATCTAGCAATCCAGCCTGTAGACATACTAGCCTCAGGGTTTCAATGTCTTCCTCCTATACTTCTTGCTGCTCAGTTCTTTGCCTTGGATATGGAAGGCACCTACAGCATGTTCTGAGAAAAGTCTGTCTCTCTCTGTGTGAATCTGCCAAAACTGAAGACAAGGAGTCCAAGATGTCCGTCCTAAACTTTTTGCCTTAGCAGATTCAGAGAGCAGCTTCAAGGCCCTTACCCCCATCTTCCTCTTTTATCGTAATTTTAAACTGGATTTGGATGAGCAGCCTGTCATACAGAGTTCTCTATCACCCCTCCCTCCAGCACAGTTAAAAAGAGAAGTGGAGCTACAATGCAAAGACCATTTGATAGCAAATAATTTTTGGTTCCTCACATAAATATTTCTTTTTCTTGCTATGATTCTGGTCCTAATATAAGGTTGTTCTCAAGAAGTGGTGAGGAGGGAGGAGACTTCCTTAATCTACAATAGCAAAAGACGAGGCTCTGCAGTTGTCATTGGAATGATAAATATATGTCTTTAAAGCTACAATAGTATCCTGGTAACAAAAACATAAACTCTGGAAATGCCACAAGGAAGAAAGGGTGAGGCTGGGCAGGCTTGAACAAGTTCAAGATAGCAGCTAGTAGAAAATGTGTATAAATATTCCAGTCCTTCATGTTTTAAACAGAGAGATGCTCAGCTCAGGCCTCCAATAATATATGAGTTGGATGCCAATTGGCAGGCAAATTATAGTCAGAATTAAATCTTTGACTAAGACAGAGAAGGAGGCAATGCAGTTCAAAACTTCAAATGCCTTTGATGATATTGCTCTGAGCAATTTGGAATGAGTGCATTCATATTATGATACTCCTCTCCTGATATTAAAGAGAACGTTTGATTTAAGAAATCTGAAAAAAACCCAATTTTTAACTGGATGAATAAGAACTGATTACTATTAGGTTCATGACAGGGTCAAGTGTTTGCAGCTTTCAACAACTGTGTAAAGCAAGAAATGTCAACAGGTGCATTTTTTTTCTACCCTAGAGCAGCATTATACAAACAAATGACATCTGCAAAAATTATCTTTTTTTATACAACTACTGAAGGTACAAAAAGCATGTTGTCCTTCAAGTCAAGCCTAGGGAATATTCTGCCCATGAGGCAGGTTCAGCCTTCCTTTCTCTCTGTCCTGTTAAGACTTTATAAAAAGGTTTCCTTCTTGGCTTAGATTATTGGACTTAATGGTATACAACTATTATGAAAAGCTGTGCTTTCCTTTGCTGTTTGAGTTTTTTTGCATAGGAGACCAACTATCCCTGTGTTTTTCTTGCCTTAAAGCTTTGAAAATACAGATAGTTCCCAAGACAACAAGGCTATTAGTTCAGACCTCAGAATCTCCAACAGATGAGTGTTATCTACAGATTATACTAATTTAATTTTTTAATTATCCCCATCAAAGCTCTTAGAACAAATTACAGCTTCCTAAAAAGAAAAAGAAAAAAAACAAGGCAGATATTCAAAACATGTATGTACACACCCATCATACTGAACATTCCCCTTTCTCTAACATTGGAAGCCTGGCCATCAGGAAGAAAGCACAAATAAAAAGAATTCTTGTCATTTCTTAAATCCCTTTGTGGAACCAAGGAGAATGCAGATTCTACAAGTGTTGAGCAATTGGTAAGACTTCCTCCTTTAATTCCTCCATCAAATGGATTTACTAGCAATATGGCACGAGAGGGCTCTCTTTGAGTTTGAAGACTGAAATGAAGGTAGTTTGAGGCATGCTGAGCTTCAGCCACTTAGTAGGTTAGAGATGACGCTAGCACCTATATTATCCCTGGAATAATGGAGCAGGTCAAGAGAATGTCTATGGTGCTCTTCTGTTGTGTCCTTAATTAGAACAGCAAAGTACAGTCAGGAGGCATGCAGTTGCTGTTAGGAACATATTAAATTCCTTAAACTTTGCCAAATAATTGGTCTCCTTAGCAAACTACAGTTTTTTAAACCAACTGATAACAGTTCCCCAAGGTTTCACACAAGAGTACTTCCCCAGTCAGATCTGAAGTTAGGGATAAAACTCATGCCCACTGAGGCTCTCTCCCATTCAAAACTGGGTTCAATAAACGTCAAGTCAGATTAATTGTTTGGCTAGCCCCTCTAGTTTTATCAGGCTGGCACTGGTTCACCAGCACTTCAAGCAGAGGTCTGCTAGCTGGGGATGCAAGGTATGGACTTAGGATGTCCTGCATGCAAACCACACACACTGCCACGATCTATAGTTTCTCCCATTGTTCCTGGTCCTCTCTATCCAGGTTTTGTTTTGTTTTGTTTTGCAGTATCAGGCTCTAAGGAATTAGCTGTACCCAACTCTCAAAATAGCCTCACTTGGCATACAGTACTGTAAAACACTAGCCCATTAAACTGAGAGCCACAGAACCAGGGGAGAAAACTCAAAGACCAGCTTGTCCAAACCTCTGACAATGCAGGAATGGACTGCTACAGAGGCTCTGGTAGGCAGACATCCTGACTCTGCTTAAATGTTTTTCATGTAGGAAAGTCCATCTTCTGAGGCAGTTTTTTCCATTGCCAGTTGGCCTATATTGCTCAGCTATTCTGCCCAATGGTTAGTCAAAATTATGTGACTGACTTTCAAATATTTGAACATAGTTTTCTCTCGCATCTTAATGGCCTTTGTCCCAGGCTAAATATGCTCCAGCCTTTCCTCATTGTTTTTGCTTATTCTGTCTGAGCAGATTCCAGCTTGTTGACACTCTTTTAAAAATATGGTACCTAGTTTAATTAGTGACATAAAGAAATCCACAACATGCCTGCCCAATTGGTGTCCTATCAAACCACAGGACAGCCAACAAGCTATGCAACTGTAATCTGTTAGGAGATTGATGGCTCCTTTTTTATACAGCTTAAGCAGGTAGCAAAACCAGGAAGCTTCTTCATGTATTCAAATAGTTCCTGTTGCTTTGGATGAATCTATCTTTTGGGGATTATGGAAGCTGAATAATAGACTACTGTCTTATAAGGTCTTAAATTAAGGAAACAAATGCTCAAGGAATTATTTTTATAAAGGAATATATTATGATATCTTAGTGCAAAATCAATTATGTGCATGATGGAACAAAATGCTAATATTGGGAGGGGGCCACCTTTCAATGGTAGAATATAGACTTTCACAAAGAAGATCCCAGGTTCAATCTTTGGTCACTCCATTTCCTTCTTTCTAACCTGCCTTTCCTCAAATGCAGAACTTCCCTTAGCAATGAAAGTGACAGATCACTGAAAAGCCCAGTGAATGAAGTTCCTTCATGATGTCTTCTGGGAGATTTAATTGAAGAGTAAGAAGCCAGGGAAGCTCAGACTTCTGAAAAGTTTATTATATAGAACCAGGATACTCACATAACCCTTGGCCACTTCATAACTAAATAGATGCAAAAATACCACTCTCTATACTGGAAATTCTGAAATTCTTTCTTTGAACAAATTTTAAGTAGATCTTCTGTACTCACCCCAGGGAAATTATGCCTGTTTCAAATGGCCTCAACTATTTCCAAAACCACCATTCATCTCCAGCCAAGGTAATGCTTTTAATACTAACACAAAATTCTGCACCTGATAGGCATACGTGTACTGTACTGGAATTCAGGACACAAGGAGCTAATTGAATTCTCCCAACACCCCCTGTTGGCTAAAGGTGGATATCAAAAGCATCCAAGATCCACTTCTAAGCTGAATTTAAGCTATCAAGGAAGCAAGCCACAGTTTGTGGGAAAAGGTCAAAGGCTAAAAATACATGCAGTTTAAGAGTAATATAGGATGGTAATTATATCTAAATAGTACAGTAATGGAGATGTTACATCTGAGTCTAAGAATGTGTGCCACTAAAAGCCAACCCCCCTCCCTCCCCTGCCTCCCAAGAAGCTCTTCCTACCCTCCATGCTGGCTCAGAGACAAGGAGTAACTATGCTGATCAGTTCAGTAGGCAGAAATATGTCCTCTGGCTGTCAGAAAGGTATTCTTTGTAAACATTAAAAATCAAGATCTGGGAAAAGAAATCCTCAAAACTGTGAACGTATTTAGAAGTGTTGCACGAGTTTCAGATTAAAATGTAAAAACAAATTTCTGCCAACTCGGATCTGGTTTCCTCCCCCCCCCCCATGTTCTTCTCACCTTTCTAAAGTCTTAAGTGCTTTCTGATGCAAGTCATCTTGTGTGATTTTCAGGGTAGCTGCAAAACAAACAAAAATATACATTAGGGTAAGCATTGTTGCAAACAGTACATCTGAATAGTTGAGAGCTCCTGATTCTTAAAAAGCTATAAAAACCGTCCCATATGGGTCTTCAAAACGCCATTTCCTTAAGAATGTCATGTCTTATTTTAAAAGACTTTTCCTTCAAAAATCTTACTGAAAAAAGATTTCCTGCCTTATTTCCAGGGTGTTTAGAAACTGATCTCTCCAATGGCACCAGATATCATGATTCACTCTTTTCTTTTAAAGAACCTCCAGGTAGTATCAGAACAGAAATAAAATGTCGTGACTGAGTTAGGGAATACCTCCTCTGAATGTGATTCTTCTGGATTTAGGTTTTTAAAATGTCCTCTCATTTTATCCCCACACAAATTATGTGAATCTCTTTAGTTTCGAAAGTGTAAGTGGCTCCAAAATCAGGCCAACTTCATGCCCTGAGAGAGGATTGTAATCTAGATCTCCCCAGTCCTGGTTAAAGAATCTATCCATTAAACATGCGCTTCTTCTCAGTCTTATTCCATAACCTCAGGTGGGCCTTTTTCAAATGGACTTTTTCAAAGATATGTCAGCCAAATGCAGAGCCTTCTCTTCTACAGCACCTTCTCTGTGGAATTATTTTCCAAATGAATCCCACCATTATGGTTATGTGATGATAAGCAGAAAACAAATCCAATACTTTTGTCTTTTTATTTTGCTAAATCTGGAGTGGGGGACATGGGGGCATCATATTCATTCTTTCCTAGTACTAGGGCAGGTGGCTTTTGGTATTGGTAGTTTTATGATTTTAAAGCTTATTTTTTTAGTGGTTCCATTGTAGCAAACTGACTTCAGGATCTTCTGAGTGAAGATACCTTCATCAGCAGAATGCAGATAAATGACTCTCCCATTAAAATAAATTGTTCTTAGAATTTCTTTGTAGTTTTGACAGTCTAGTATTCCAAGCTTTTTATGACTTAATAAAATGTTTAGTGGCTTTGTATTTCCTAAATATACTGAGTTGCAGTTAGCATGCTTACTGTAATTACCACTGCTTGAACTAGGGTTAACACAAGTTAGCTGGACACAGAATTGTCCCCCTAAAACTTTTACCTCACTTTACCTAATATGTCAACCATTTTCCAGAGACAGATTTCAAAAGATTATGTTGAATCTAGGCACTTCTGCACTGTCATCTGTGTAAAGCTGTTGGAAGGCTGCCTGAAAATGAAAGCTGAGGGACTGCACCTGCTGTCCCCTTGATGTAGAAGACGTGTCAAGAGTCTGATGCTTGAGAAAGAAGGGACAAAACTTTGCCAAAGGGTCAAAGAGTACAAATGTCCTCTGGGGATGACAGAAACTCTTTTGGGATAGACTTTGGCTCCTGACCAGAGCATAAATGAGCAATGACAGAGGTAGGCTGAATGGCATCTTCGTTCATTCTTCTCTCCTGAAGATCCAGCTCAATCAGCTTTAGTTTCTCATGGAATCATCCCAGCCTCCATCACACAGAAATCAAACATAAATAAAGGAAGGAAGGAAGTTAGAATTGAAACTGCAAGCGCAATCAAGTCAGTGGCACCAAGTAGGGCAATGGGGAATTACAGATGTCTTTCTGTAGACAGTTGGGCAATGTGGGAGATGAAGAAGCAATCAAGAAGGAAGAAAAGAGTAAAGTTGGACTGCAGATGTTTCTTGTCATCTTGTGTCAAAATTAATTTCAGTGGGTCATTTAAAAAAAAAATACTAGGGATTATCCATTATTTTGTTAAGCATCTTCTTTTCCTCTGGCTTTATCAGTTACTTAATTTGCAGGAGTTAGGCAAAAGGCTTTTTCCTATCTTCATGCTAAGATAAATTTCATCTGTATCTAAAAGATTTCACCCTTTTAGATATTAAAGCATAGGAATGATCTATAGTGACAGATGTCGCTATAATTGTCTATAGGCCAGGCCAAGATGAATGCAACATTAGCGCTACAGAATTGTGGCTAAATATAGAATCACAATACTGTTGTTTTTCCTAGTCCCATTTCTTTTTTCCCTCTCTCTGGTAGAAAGTAATGTGGCTACTGTTCATTTTGGTTACAGTGAATCCAGAGATGCTCTTCAATCCTTCTTCAGAATACAGGTCTACTCTTTTGATCATGGCACCATCCTCACTCACTGCTCAATTACATAAAGGCCCTTGTAGGCCCTTAAGGAAGCACCTCATGGCTGTAACTGAAATAAGAACTCCTGGGCAGAAGTAGGTCAAATGGTTCCACACATCTTGTCTTTCATTTTATGAGTAGGTCACAAGATAAATCTGGGTTCTGTCAGTAGATTATCTTAGTTTTACAGAGGATAATAATAAAAATAATAACAACAATAACAATCAAGTCGGGAGGGCGGAGCTGGCGTCGCGGCGATACGGCGGGCGATCCTGGGCTCCCAGGATGGC